TGGCATCCTAAAGGAGCTTGAGAGGTACCTTGAGGTGCAGCCCTGGGGGCAGTGGGGCAGAATGAGGTCTCCAGCTCCTGCCTGGACCACATGGTCCAGGGAGTTTGGTCAAGATGATGTAAAGGATGATCAACTCAGCCTTAGTGACAGTGGAATTCTGGGTATGGTGATGCCAAGTGTTAAAAAACCAAAAGTCAACTAAGAAAATTGAAGATCTAATTGGCCTTATTCAAAAATTCATGAGTAGGGTAGCATCCCACCTAGCAAGTAGATAGGTGCTCTGAGGAGCTGTACAAAATGGAAGGCTTTTACAGGCAGGAGGAGAGTGGGGCAAGAAAGTAAAGACAGTGGATTAATTTAGGCAGGGTCATCTTCCCTTAGGGGAAGGCAGAGGGTCTTAGGCAGATTACCTCACTGGTGTTGACCAGGTAATTCCAGACTAATTGGTTTAAAACACTGCTCCTGAGAGAGGCTGAAATTGCAATTAGGTTAGGCATTAAGTCTTGGTGGGGCTTAGCACAAGTGACTCCATTTTGGGCCTGTAGTTTCTTTCTAACAACTCCCCCCCACTTTGATCAAACTGTCAACATAACTGAGAGATGTGATCAAGAATTTAAGCGTTAGTACCACTCACCTACTGCTCTGTAGTTCTCAGTTTTTGGTGATGCTGCTTTGTTGCTGAATCTGTGTAGTATTCACAGGTTGCACAACTCCAGACTCACAATTTTTTAGTCAATCATTCTCTTTGTTCCTTTTTTGAGGTCCAGTCTTAGGGAGATTTGCTTGGTGATTAGCAGCTGTAAATATGTATTTAAAGCTTTAGAGAGAATGAAATGCACCAGGGATATTATTATAACTATAAGCGGGATAATTCCCAACGTTAAGAGTGCACTTGGGAGTCATGGGTCTCCAAGACCCAAACCAATCAAAATCAAATTAATCAAAGAAAGACTCCATTGAAGGAGTCACCTTTTTAAGCCAAGTCGTTTGCTCAGTGATCTTATGTAATTGAGTTTCAGCTTCCCCAGAAGTGTTCATTCTAGGTACAGCAGGTGGTGTTGGCCACAGAACAGCTCAGCTAAAAGATAATCCTGTTATAAAGAACAACTTTGCCCAGAGAGTCTAAGGATCTTTGCTGGGTAGCTAGTGTCTTAGCAACGGAATCGGCAATGTTTCAAGAGTTAAGGAGAGGGCTTCCCTGGTGGCGCAGTGGTTGAGAGTCCGCCTGCCGATGCAGGGGACACGGGTTCGTGCCCCAGTCTGGGAAGATCCCACATGCCGCGGAGCGGCTGGGTCCGTGAGCCATGGCCGCTGAGCCTGCGCGTCCGGAGCCTGTGCTCCACAAGGGGAGAGGCCACAACAGGGAAAAGCCCCGGTAAAAAAAAAAAAAAAAAAAGAGTTAAGGAGAGGTTTCTGATCATACTCCCATTGGATTTACTCCTAAGCCAGGGGTCATTCAGGTTTTTAGTGCATATGGGGTGAGAATCTTCCAGCCTGAAATAAAAAATTGTTCTAAATTCCAGAGCTTACACCCCCTAGCAATGGCCTGGAAGATATGGGTGATGACATTATCTTTCCAGGCCAATGGCAGGGTAAAGGAGAGGAAGAAGAGAGAGTTTCATGTTTAGTTAAAGTATAAAATCTTGAACCAGTGTCCTGAGTGGAAACAGTCTACTTTGATGTTAGCTACTTCTCTTCCTAGCCAATTTGATTTGGATGTCTCCAGTGTTTGCAGAGCACCCACCAAGTTTTGCAACTTTTTGGCTTCTGAGATTCCTGTTAGCAATAGTCTTTACTGGACCCAGTCCAGCTCAAGTTGGACCCAGTCCAACTCCAGCTGGTAACCACCAACAATTCCTGGGGAACTTTGGACTGGGGGAAAGCAGTGAACCAGCAGACCTCAGCAAATGAAGACGGCAGCCTGATTCCAGACAAATGGGGGAACTACTGTAGCCATGGCAGCTCCCAATGTGGAATTTGGGGAAAGATTCCAAACAAATGGGAAACTGCAGACTAAATCACCAGCAGTTCTCAACATGGAATCTGGGGACAGAATCAAGGGCTGGGGTATCCAAACAAATGGGGGAACTAACTGGAAAGCCAATTAGACCAGGAGCTTGACGCAAAGAGAGCAGAGCTCACAGTCATGAGGAACTTCCCCTGGCTTCAGAAATGCTGAGAAAGACAGTGAACTCAAAAAGGGGTGTCCGGGTACCACACTTGTCTTTCTCATTGTCCCCAAAAGCCATCAGAAGTTCACTTTGGATCCCACCACTGCCACCAAATCTGTTAAAAGCCAAAATTCAACTGAGTACATTTGAAGATCTAATTGGCTTTATTCAATAATTCATGAACTGTCAGCATCCCATCTAGCAAGTAGAAAAGTGCTCTGAGGAGCTATACAAAATGGAAGGCTTTCATAGGCAGAAGGAGGGCGGAACAAGGAAATTAAGAAGGTGGATTATTTCGAGCCAGGTCACCTTCCCCTAGAGGAAGGCAGGGGGTCTTAGGCAGATTACCTCATTAGTGCTGACCAGGAAATTCCAGATGCATTGGCTTAAAATTCCACTCCTGGGGGCTGAAATTGCAATTAGGTTAAATATTAAGTCCTGGAGGGGCTTAGCACAAGTGACTCCATTTGGGGCCTGTTGTTTCTTTTTAACAGGGGTCATGGTGGGGGGCAAGCCAAAGAGGGGAGGAGAGACAGGATGGAAAACAAATTGCAAATGCTAGTTTCAGCCCCCATCATCTGACTCCCAGCAATCAGGCTCTTCCCAAAACCCGCTCCTCCTCCAACTCCCACCTTAGTGGGCAGTACCTCCATATACCCTTTGCCCAAGCCTTCTGAGGAGGACCCCCTGACCACTGCCTCGCTTTACCTCTTTTTCCTCAAACTTCTGCTGGGAAACAATTCCCCACAGGTCTCCTGTGTTTCTGCAGAGGAATCGGTTGCTTTTTGTTCTGGGCGATCTTTTCCAGCATGGCTTGGGATATGTAACTTCTTCTCAAAGCACAGGCATGGTCCAGCATGATAAAAATAATGTCTGTCTCAGGAGCAAAGGGCAGGCTTGCTTATTGCCCATCAGAAAAGATTGGGGTTCCCTAAGCTCAGGGTTTCTCTTCTGTGATTCTCCCACTCAGTGTACAGGTACCATCTGCCCCTTTTCATGTCACCCTGTGGGATTTGGGACTCAAAGAGCCAAAGCAAAATACTTATACTCCAGTTTACTGCTAGTGCTGTAATACACTGTCCATCCTCTCTGACCCATGAATCTTGTGCCTTCTACCAGCATCCAAGAAACCCCAGCAGGCCGACTGGTAGCTTGCAAGTAGGGTACCATCTTGGACGTTTCACCATTCTTGACAGCTTCTAACTCTGTCAGTTCCACCTTCCACACGTTTCTGGCATCTGGTCACTTCAGCCCCCGTCCTGGCTGCCATCATCTCGTGCCAGGAGAGCTTGTTGTTGTGGGTTCCTATCAGATCTCCCCCTTTCCCCCCAAGAGCCCTTCTCTGCCCTAGTCTAGCCTCCTCATGCAGCTGGAGGGACTGTTGTAAAGCCCTCATTGATGTCCAGTGCCTTGCTGCCTTGGCTTTTCGATGGCTCCTATCATTTGATAGAATATTCTATGACCCATGTGGTCCTTGCCGACCTCACCATCTACCTCGTGCTCCTCCCACCTCCTACTTTATGCTCTAGTAATACTGAATTGTTGGAATCATGCTGTTCCCTCTGCCCGGACCATCCTTCATACTTTCTTCTCTGGAAAACTCCTACCCATCCTTCAAAACTTAGCTCAAGGTGGCCTTTCTGAAGCCTCAGCGACCCCTCAGGGACACAGCGTTGGAGACATAGAGGGTGGGTAGGGGAGGGGCAAGGGCAGAGGACAGAGTGGAGGGACTTTGCACGCTTTACCCTCTGGGCCCCTGCTGTTGCCCCGTGGGGAGGAAACAAATGGGTGAACAGGACTTGCCCTGGGCAAAGGTTGTCTTTGACCTTCCAGGGACTCATTATGGCAGGTTGCCATGTACAGCTGGGCGGGCCGTATCCTGCACAAGGGTCCTGGCCGAGGAGGGTAGTGAGACTGAAATCGCGCTGTGTGCCAGGGCAGAGGGGGCCCTCTGCTCACGGTGCCCTGCACTCACAGGATCCTGCCACCAGAGGGCGTCTTTAAAAAATTTCTAAAAGGTGTGAGAGCCTCATCTTGCAGCATCTTGGGGCATCTGCTGGGACCCAGACAGGAAAACAATGCAGGAAACGCTGTGATCAAGGTTCTGGATTCTCCCAGATTTCTAAGCCTTTGACTCTGATCCATGGCTCCAGAAACCTCTCTGAGATGCTCCAGGCAGCCTGTGGCCCTGAGGGGTTTCACTCAGCCAAGTGCCCCTTTTCCCTCTGAGAATGCCTCTCTCCAGGATCCTCTGAGACCTTTTGTGGGCACATTTTCTCTCTCCTGCCCTCCTCTAACTGAATCTCAGAACCCACTGACACATCACTAACATCGTAGAATAAAGGTCACAGCCGCACTTCTCTGCTTCTGTGACTGGGGAGCAACCTTTAGCAAAATGCAAGAAGGATGGATCGGGTGGGAGGAGGGTTAGGTAGGAGATTTCAGATTTGGGTGGCTGAGGCTTCCATCTGCCTCCAAACATTTTGTCACCTGAGGCCCTGGGGGTGAAGATTTCTATATCCCAGGCCTTTGCTCCTTCAGGATTTGGAAGGACGTGGGAAGGCACAGCACCCATACGCTGCCTTGGCCGCCCGTGCTGGGTGGATGGGAGGTTCGTGGAGTTGATGTCCCCGGGAGCAGTCTCCAATTAGGAAGTCGACAGGATGTGGAAGACAAATACCCCAGTTTCCGTTCAGCAATGGGATGGGAGGCAGGTAAAGGAGAGCCTTTTGCGGCAGCTGGGTCCCCATGGTAACTTGGCCCCCACCCTGCAGTATCTGTGAGGTCAGCCTGCCTTTCCCACCTGGAGGAGGGGTAGGAGGGACAGACATGGAGTCCGTCCCTCCGGTCAGATCCAGCCTCTTGGGGACTCTGCTGGTGGTGGTGAAGCTCCCCACACTGGTGAGTGGGGTTTGGGGGGCAGGGGGTGAGGGCCACCTCAGAGCTGCTGGACTCCCCAGGTGAAATAAGGTGGCTGCCTCCCTCCCGGAGTAATCCGACAGTTCTCAGAAGCCCCACCCACAAGCCACAGTGCTAGAATTTTCTCTATAGAGGGTCACTCCTGTGGGTTAAGTTTTGCCCTTCCCATCTGTCTTTTTCAAACATGCAAATGCTGACCATTGGGGTCACGTCTCCAAATCACAACTCCTCAGTGGCTGAGTTATCAGAAAAGGGTCCCCTGGGTCTGCTCCTGTGGCAGAGAAAGGGGAGATTACACAGGGCAGTAGAGAGACAGACATGGTTGGATTGGAATTTCAGCTGCTCTACTCTTTAGCTGTGTGACTTGGGGCAAATTGCTCCACCTCTTTGAGCCTCTGTTCCCTCTCCTGTAGCCTATCTTATAGGATCATGTGGGATATAACAGGTTTCTCTCCTTCCTGGTTTCTACCTCACGAGCTGAGGGGTGGAGGTGCAGCTCCTGTTTCCATCTTGATTCCCCTCCTAGCTGGACCCCTGGACCTCCTTCCTTTCTCAGCATTGCTCCACCCCCTTGGCTCTGCTGATCCCGCCCACAGTGGGGCACACAGCCAACCCCAGGTGACTGCCTTCCACACCACTGTCCCCTAGGGCTCCAGGTGGTGCTCTGGACCGGAGCATGTGGGGTCTGGATTGGTGGGTTGGCGATGCTTCGGGGCTAGAGGCTTTAGGGCTCTGATGAGGGGCTGTTCAGCTCCAGGACTCCAGTGAGTCTCATTTCCAGCCTCTTTCCCCATCCAGGCCCACTCTTTCTCCCAGTGGATGGGAGACATCACATCTACCTTGTCACCCAGGACAGGAATCTGGACATCTTCTTGTGTTCCCCCCCCGCCCCCGCTTACCCCTCACAGTAGGTCAGTCATTCATTCTGTCACGGTCCCTGTGCCTCACATCCGTCTACCCCTAATGGCACTGCCTTTGTCCCCAGCTGCCCTCATGACACCAAGAGGCAACTGATAGGAAGGAATCCCAGGTGCTTGGGAGAAGGAAATGCCCTGGGTTCAAATCCTGCAGGATTAGAGGGCTGAGGGCAATCGTCATTCCTTAGATAATGACGATGATGATAATAAATCAACCTCCTTCAGTCTGGAGGTTTGTAAATAACCATTTAAACCCAAAGGAAAGGGAATTCCTCGGTGGTCCAGTTGTTAGGACTCAGCGCTTTCACTGCCATCAGCCTGGGTTCGATCCCTGGTCAGGGAACTAAGATCCCGCAAGCCGCCTAGTGCTACAAAAACAAAATGCAAAACACAAAACAAACCACCAAGCAAAAACAACCCAAAGGAAAGAGAATCAAATATAATATGAAACACCTCTAAAGCTCCCTCCTGAGAATGGAGTCCTTCCAAGTGACAGATAAAGATCGTTCTTGGGGGTGTGGGGATTGAGGGGGGAGGGCACGGCCCAGGGCGGCCTGGCATCCCCACCCCCACAATAAAACTTGGGACAGGGAGGGCTCCTGCCGCAGGTGAGTGGCAACGGGTGGTGACTGTCTCCTCCTCCTGCAGCTGGCCCAGAACCGGGCCCACCTCTGCAATTTCCTGCCCCTCAAGACCACCCTCTTTAACCACTGGCTGTCAGGGCTGACCCAGGAGGCCCAGGGGTCCCACCCACCCGCCAAGATCTCAGCCTGCCCCGTGGGCCGTGTTCTACAGGCTGGGCTGACACTGATAGAAGTCCCTGTGTGGCTGGTGCGTCGGGCGCCCAGGCTGGTGTGGGCAGGCGTGCTGGGCTGTGCCCGGGCCTCGGGCCTGGCCCTGAAGCGGCTGGGTGCCTGGGAGCAGCTGGGCCTCTCTGCGGCCACCTGGACCTGCTCTTGTCATATCTGCACGGCCTGATGCTGGCTGCCGGGCTGCTGCTACTGCCGACCTGGAGACTGTGCCAGAAAGCCCACTGCTGCAGCCTGGGCCGGCTGCCAGGGAAGGTGGGTGGGGTGGGTGTGGGACAGGCTGGGGAGGGCAGGCCTGGGGCACTGGGCCTGGGCTGGGTGGGGGCGGAGGCTGGCACCAGGTAGTACAGCGTGTGAGCTGCTGGCCGTCACCTGCCCATCCACCTGCCCCCCCCAGGCTCTGCTGGAGAACCGCGTAGTGCTGGGGACACCGGCAGTGCTGAAGCGTCTGCACTGCGGTGTGGAGAGCATGGCAGCCCCCGCCTCCTGGCACCCAGCCTACCTTGTCACCTGGACCACCTGCCTCGCCTCCCACCTGCTGCAGGCTGCCTTTGAGCACACAGCCCAGCTGGCCCAGGCCCAGGAGGCTGAGCCCCAGAAGGCCTTGGGGCTCTTGTGTGAGTCCCCGCTCCCTGAGCCCCTGGCCTCCGAGGCTGGGCCAGTTCTGCCAGAGCCTGGAGCTCCTGTAGAATAAACGTGTGCCCATCTGCCTCTCCTGTCTGATCCGGCCTAGGGCCTCACTCTCTATCCCTCTTCCGTACTGGGCTGCGTGCGTGCGTGTGTGTGTGTGCGCGTGTACACTCGGGCATGTGTGTGGGGGCATGCGTGTCCTAGGGCCGCCTCTGGGAAGGAAGTTACCTCTGGTGAGCACCTGATATGTGCCAGGTAACCCTTGCAGACACTTTCCACACATAATTTTGTTTAAACCACTTACCAGCACAGGTATCCAGATGAGAAAACTGAGCCTCAGAAGGTTGAACCTTCCCAAGGTCCCAGAGTAAGTCAGGGGAAGGGCCAGCACTGGACCCAAGGTTTCTTCATTTCCTAGAACCCCTAACTTCATCGAGGTCCATGTCCCTGCTTCTCAAGACATGGTGCTCAAGGCTTTAGGGATGATGGGTAGTTAGAGACTCTGGCCTCTGGGGGGTGCCAGGGCCTCACATTTCAGAGATTTAGAAAATTCCTTTGAGGAGTAGTTACTCCTGGGCCAGTCTGAAACTAGCTCATGCATCCACTCACATACTTGGCCACTCATTTTCCCACCCATCCATCCAACCATCCATCCATCCATCCATCCATCCATCCACCCACACACACACCTACGCATCCATCCACCCACTCACCCACAAATCCATCCGCAGATCCATCTCCTCCAGGGAGGGGGAAACACTCGATATCTCAGCACTCAGCCCTAGCTGCTCAGGTGCCACTGAAGGGGTGCTGATGTAGCCAATGCAAGCTCAGGCTGCAGTGGGTCAGATCCCCCTGACGGCGCTCTTAGGTGAGTGATTCTGTGAGAGGAGGGGAGGGACGGTTTCTTGGGAGTTAGCGATCACCGCTTACTCATTCCCAAGCCTGACGGTGGTGTGAGTGTGGGAAGACATTCTAGAGAGCTCTGCCCTGCTTTCTCCTTCTCCATTCTGGTTCCCAGGGAAGTTAGGGCTGGATTCCTGCCCTGCCTCTCATGTAAACCTGCAGATGGCCCAGGGTGGGTGTGGGGTGAACTTCCAGGCCCTTCTTCTGAGTCTGAGGGGGCAGGCCTGGCCTGCCCCCGTGGGGAGACTCTGAAGGGCTCCCAGCTGGCCGACCAGGCAGAGCACCTGCTGGGGAAGGCTCTGCAAGGTCCTGGTGAAGGGGTCAGCACAACTGGGATTCCAGAACCCACACACAGCACGCAGGGAAAGCTGAGGGCAGAAGTGTGTGACATTGGCCCACTGCTGAAGGTGGGGACGGGGGGGATGGGAAGGAGGCCCCAGAGCAGGCCTGTGGATCTGAATGGACTTTGAGCTGCCAGGGACCAAGATGGTCCTTGACAGCGCTGTGGCCTGGGGGTGGGGTGGGGGGCGGGGGAGGTGGGAGGCAGGGAGCAGGTGGAGAGGGGCCTCAAAGGCCAAGAATGGAGGGAGGTGGCAAGTACCTGTGCCACCTGGGAGAGAAGACAAGATCCGGGATGGAGCTGGGGACCAGTGATGGGACTCGTGCAGCCCTTGGCAGTGGACGGGGGTGGAGGGTCATGGGGGGGTGAGGGGAGGGGGGGTATTTTTTCCTTCTACTAAAAAAAGTTGTTGTTGTTTTAATTACCTGAAGTACAGAGATGTTAAGGTAAAACTCTTTCCTTTTCTCTGGTTCTAAACTTCTGAGAAACAGGGTCAGCTGTGTGTGGAATATCTCTCCAGTCACAATATAGATGCAAACCTGCGTGCATGTACTCAATGCACATATAGGTTGTACTGATAGGGATCCAGTCACACTATACGTATCGTTAGGCCTCCCCTCCGGGCCTCAGTTTCCATGTCTGTGCAATGTCGGTGACCCGGTGATCCCCGGTGAGACAGCCAGCGTTCAGGGGACCCCAATATCCTGGACGCCCCAGCTGGGAGTTGGTTGGTCGCCAGCTGGACAGGAGGGGCCGGCCTGTGCAGCTCCATCGGGCTCTTAACGTGAGCTGAGATCTGGCTGCGTGAAGCGTACGTCTCCAGGCCCTGAACATAAGTCCGCCCGGGCCTTCCAGGGGCCCTGGCGTCAGGGGGCCAGGGCTTGGGAAGAAGGGAGGAAGGTGTGAATCTGCCCTTGGCTTTTCCTCACAGGCAGTGGGAAGATCAGAGGCCTCTTGGGGTCAGGCAGCCTCAGGTTTGAATCCTGGACCCACCACCTCGTCTGTGTGACCTTGGGCAAGTCCTTAATCACGTGAGCCTCAGTTTCCCCACCTGGGAACAGGTACAACCGTAGCCTTGGGCCTCACTGGGCTATGTTGGGCCTGTGCATGAACTGTACCAGGCCTGGTGTGGGAAGACGCTGGGAACCGCAGCTCCCCTCCTGGGCATGCGGCCTTCCCAGGGGCCACGGGAACCTTGTTCTGAGGTCAAGAGGGTGGGTGATCAGTCCATCTGTCTCAGGCCTGAGAGTGTGGAGGGGCCCTGGCCTGATGGAGGAAAACAAGTGGGGGACGGTGGGCGGGAGGTGCGGGCAGGGTGGGGGGACTGGCTGCAGGGCTGGCCAGCAGCTCCACGCAATCTGTCTGCTATGCAGTCCCAGGCCTGGCCTGTATTTATTTATGCTGAGCGTGTATTTATATCAGCCCCTTTCTCATTAATAGGGCAGGAAATGGCTGGAATTGTTACATACCTGGCGGCCCAGGGGTCCTGCTCGGCCAAGACACACAGGGCCCTGGACGCCCAGCCGTGATAGTGAGGGACCCTCCTCCTCAGCCCCAGGCCTAAGTCCCTGGCCTTTCATTGACCCCCCCACCCCTTGCATTGAGCACCCATCTACTTCCTTGTGATCCTAGTCACCCCCTGAGCCCACAGCCCTCAGAGCGGGGCTCATTTCAGGTCTGTCCCTGTCCTCCAGCTCCTGACCCCATCTGAACCCCAGGAGGGCCAGTGGTGTCAAGGTGCATCTCGGAGGATGGGGGAGTACTGGGCAGACCCCAGGCAGAACAGCAAGAGTAATGGATGAAAAGTCAGGGGATGGGATCCTGGAGTCCCGGGGTGGGGCTCTGGGCAGAGGAGGAAGTGAGGGGATGTGAGAGGACCCGCCTGAGGCTTGGGGGTCATCCCAGGGCTCTGTTCCCCACCAAGCTTGGACAGACCCTGCATCCCACGGAGGGGTTGTCTGTGTTTACCACCCAGCAGGGGTCCGACAGGGTGTGGGGCTCATCCGTGTCTTGCCTTCTGGGCTACCACGGCTAAATGAGGCTTCTCCACTCAGGGCCTGGCAGCCCCCTCCTCGGCTCTCACGCTGCATGCAGAGTCAAGCCAACATCACTCTCCAGGCCCCAGCTCTTGGGCGCGGGCCCCAGGTGGGGCTGCCAGAGCTGAGAGGCGCGGCCCCCTCTCCAGAGCAATTGCCTGACATAACCTATTAGTGCATCTCGCCTCGGGGCAGCTGGGCCTGCCCACCCCTCTCCTCGGTCGGGCCCAGAGGCCTCCTCTAGGCTGGGATTCCCAGCAGTTGCTGTGGTCAGGTGGGCCTGACCTCCAACCTCTGCCCACTGTGGCCGCCATGCCCTCCTGGTTCAAGAGTCCAGAGCTGGGGCCACTGTGCAGACGTGGGGACTGAAGCTTGAAGAGGATGAGGGGCTTTCTGAGGGGCTGCCCTCGGCCTCCAGCCTTGCTCTCTCGGCTGCACTGCTAGGGTCTGCTGGAAGGCGTCGTGGAGGGCGGCTCCGGACACTGAGGAGGGGCTGCCGCAGGGGCCTCTGAGCTCCTCTAGGCTGTCCCATCGTAAGGACAGATGCGTCATGTGGGGAGAGGAGGGCCAGGCCAGGGACGGTACCCCCTCGGGGCTCCCTTAGGACGGCTTTCCTCAGACACTGTGTTGATCCCCCAGCCTGCAGACCCCCAAGCCCGGGCCAGGGGCTGGTCCTTGGTCCTCCAGCCCTGCCTGGCCCAGCCCGGGCTCCTCCGGGAGCTCCCATCTCCGAGATGGGGACACCGCCCCCACACAGGAGCTGTGGGAACCTAGGTGGCAGGTAAGGAGTTCGCACAGGGCTCGCACACAGTTGTGCTCAGTGAGCAGAAGCACTTCTTTCTTTTTTTTTTTTTGGCCACTGCCACGTGGCATGCAGGATCCTTAGTTCCCGGACAAGGGATCGAACCCGTGCCCCCTGCAGGGGAAGCAGGGAGGCTTATCCACTGGACCGCTAGGGAAGTCCCCAGAAGCACCTCTTTCCAGCTTGGTGGCTGAGTGCCTGGGGTCAGGGGCAGAGGGGCGCAGTGGTCTGGGGTCTTTTGCCTAGCTGGGCTCCTGTCCCCAGCGGAGCACCACTCTTTGGAGGAGGAGGCCGAGGGGCGGGGCCTCCGGAGCAAGGTTTCATCCTCTGAGATTCTCCTGGGGCTGCACTGTGTCCCCGCACCCCAGGGACGCTGCCTCAACGGGCAGGGCAGCGTCCCATCCCACTGCTGCCCCAGCTAAGTCCTAGGTCACCTAAGTCTGTGGCTGAGAGTGTCTGGGTAGGGGTGGGGAGAAGCAGGCATCCAGCCCTGGAAGCTGCACCCCCCAACAAGCTGCCTGTAGTCTGAGGGACTTCAGACCCTTTGTTCCCATTGGGGTCCTGCCTGTTCCTGACTTGCATGACCCTGGGCAGGTCCCTGGGCCCTGTCCCTGCTCATGAAATTAGGCAGGGGCCTCTGGGCGCTGTGGCTCCTGGGTCAAAGTTTTTGTGAATCCTGAATCCCTCTCGGCCCCGAGGCCTGTGGGCTAGGGTTCGGGGTGCTGGAGAGGGTGTGAGGAGGGAGGCCCTTTGGCCCAGGCCTCAAAGCCCCAGGGCCCTCCTGCTGTGACCGCACACATCTGGAGCTGCGTCCCGTCCCCACCCCAGGCCCACATCTGGAGCGCAAAGCCGGCTAGCGGCTAAACATGGAGCGTTTGGGTCCCGAAGAGCCTGCTCCCAGGTTAACGCAGTGCATCTGGCCCCTGGCTGCTGCTCTGCTGTGTCTCCACAGCAGAATGCTGGCTGCACATCTGGAGGCC